GGTAAACTGTGGTCAATGACATGAGACGAAGTATATGTGAACTGCTGTATGGAAAGTGAATTTGCTCTGTAAATCTTCACCCAAATCACAATTAAAAAAAAAAGAAGAAGAAGAAAAAAAAAATCCTCAGGAAACCCAGTGAGTAAAGCTTTCATAGCGTGGTCTATGTTAAATGAATCCCATTTTGTACTGTGTGAAATGGGTAAGCTTCCCAGGGTAAGCTGTTTGCTCCAGACCTCAGACTTAAGATTAAAATTGAACAAAAGTCCAAAGTCACTGTTTGTAAACTCTGATGATCGTCAATTGTACTGTTCCTTGGTGTTGATGGTGTGGACAGGAAAAATGAAGGGCTCTGACATTTTTTCTAATCACTTCTGTGTTGGAGCTAAGAACATTCCTCTGTATGGTATCTAAATTCTAAAAATTTTCTAGTATTTTGCATATTTCAAATACAGATTTTCACTTTTAGTTTGAAAAACTATATACTGCAGTCTCCTTTCAAGTACAATCTCATTCCTCAGTGTATCAGAACATTATTTGAGGGATTTAAAAAAGGAGGCTGGGGAAATCTTGAGAGATGACAGGAATACTGGCTTTGAGGAAAAACCTTTGGAATTGCAAGGTATTGTCAAGTTTATGGACTAAGAATATATTTTACATAAAAAGGAGGCTACTTTTCCAGCATTTGGGTTGTGGGGAGAGTAGGTGGTGGTTGCCGGCGATCAGAATTTATAGAGGAAACTGCTTGTCCTTCTTGTTGGAGGTTTTCTCTGTCTCAGGGAGCACTGGGGTTAGGAGACTAGCAGGGTGTAGTCTAGGAAGAAGAGGAGTCATTAAAGGCTTCCTTTATTGATGATCACTTCCTTCCCAGGTTAGCACTAACTTCAGATTTCTTTTTGTTTCATTTTTTTTTTTCTTTGTCAAATGAACTAAAATTCCCCTTGTCTGCCACGTTTCTGTTCTAGAAGTTATTTGCTTTGCGTGCCATTGCTGTTGTCAAGCATTAACCCTAAGGGTGAGACCCCTGTAGTGGCTGACTGGCTGTGATAGTAATGCACACATTGCATGCGGCTCTTTTTGCTCTCCCTCCTGGATGAGTCATGGTGAGGACTGTTTGCAGCTGGGTGGGAAACTGCAGTGAAGGGTGGAGTGATTGACTTGAGAGTCCCCAAACTGCCAGGGCCCCATTAAAACTATAGAACTTTTGTTATCTTTAACATTGTATGTTTGCTTATTCTTACCATATAACACTGTTGAGTCCAGACCCTTGACCAGGCTTAGAGGAGGCGGATTAGTTTCCAGGTGTTGTAATCTCCAAGGCAGATATGTGTGCATCTTAGGTATCAGGGCAGTGGCAGTGTCCTCATATTCTGTGTCTGTATGTCTTTGCTGTTACAGAATCCCACCATTCCAATGCAGAAGTTGCAGGATATCCAGAGAGCAATGGAGCTGTTATCTGCATGCCAGGGCCCAGCCAGGAACATTGACGAGGCTGCAAAACACAGATACCAGTTTTGGGACACGCAACCAGTACCCAAACTAAGTAAGCATTTCTGCTTTTCCTCACTAACAATGCTGGATTAACAACAAAAAACACAAAAGAAATTCGACTTATAAATCACTTGTTTTATATCACAGGTTAGAAATTTGCATAAAAGTAATATATTATTTGGTTGTTGTTGTTGTTAGGTGCCATCGAGTCAGTTCCGACTCATAGCGACCCTGTGGACAACAGAATGAAACACTGTCCGGTCCTGCGCCATCCTCACAAATTTTGTAAAATACTACATTTTAGGTAGTAACATTGACTTTAAATAACACAACACTTTGAGTCTAATTACTATTTCTCTAAAAATACCCTGTTTCCCCACACCTAAGACATTAATTTTTTTTGGAGGGGGGCTTCTTAGCTTCATGGAGTTCATTGTTTTGCTGGTGCATACATTTTCAGTAGTTTCATACCTCAGTTTTTCCAAAAGACGCAGAGAACTTGCCCTGTGAAATCTTACTGAAATGGAAAATTTTGTACTATGTAATAAGAGGACTCTGAACACTTGCCACTGGTGTTAATTAATATCAGTTCAGTGACATTACAGGGTAATAAGACCTTTGTAAGGGGTTTTGGTTCATGTTAGAAATTATCTGTAAGGGGGCCTTCTTGCCTTGGTGCTCATGTCTACTTTATCACTTCTGTTTGGGAGAGCACTTCGATATTTACAAGTTGCTATAATATAATTGTTCCTCTTTTACATTACACAAAAAAGATAAGTGCCATAAAATCTTTTAAAAATGTATTATAACCTAAACTGCTTTGTCTTGTATATATATGAAGATAGTCATATAATTATTTCTCTTTTTTCTTCTTTGACGGATTATGTTCCAGAATCTGTATGACATAAAGGGTTTAATTGCCCTACAAACTGTTTACTAGCCCCACTGGGTACAAATACAGGAATCCTGGTGGTCCAGTGGTTAAGCTCTCAATTGCTAATTGAAAAGTTGGCAATTTGAACTTACCCAGTGGGTCAGCGGGAGAAAGACCTGGTAATTTGCTCCCTTAAAGATTACAGTCTAGAAAACCCTATGGGACAGTTCTACTCTGTCACGCTGGGTTGGTATGAGTTGAAAATTGACATGACACCACCTAACAACAACAACATGTACAAATAATCAGTTTCATCATATTTAAATCAAGAAACAACCCTGTCCATGCCTTCAAATAGTGGTTTTCAAACTTTTTAAGGCTACCACTCCTCTCTCCACTGAACCCTACTCAAGTAATTTAAAAAGAATGAGCTTCAGAGTGTTGAAGAAAGAAAAAACAAAAGAAAGGAAGGACTTATTTTAGCTTGCCTTTTTTGTTTCAGACTCTAGAAATGTATTTGGTAGAAAGTCTAGGAAGACTCTAAATGAATTTCCAGGATTTTAAATGATGCTGAATTGAGTTCCATGAATCAAAGGGATCTAAATTATTGATCTAAGTATATTGGGTTTAGCTGAATTTAGTTCTTTTGAGCTGCTGGAAGCTGTTAGCTATTACCATTTTACTAATGGTAAAGCCACTTCCACTTGGCACTCAACTCCCGGGCACCTCTTTGAGAAGATAGCTCAATCCTAATCATTGGGTGATTCCCCAGCTTCAAGAACTCTTGGTATGATCTTGGTTCAGGCAAAAGTGTGCCCTAGGTGTTAAAATACATTTGTATCCTAGGTGTTAAAAAATCACTTTTGAAGACTTTATTCTGTTTATGTGTGAACGTAGTAAACAAGGTCACTGTGAGTTGAAGTCGACTCAAAGGCAATGGGTTTGGTTATTTGATTGTATAGTAATTTTACAATTTGACCTTTTATACTATGTTTGCTTGGAAGTTTTATCTTGATTTGAGTCAATAAAAACAGTAGAAAGAGACATTCTGATGCTTTAGAAACAGATTAATTAAGTGTCAATCTAATAAATTTTCTCACTGGAACAACTTTTGAAAGCTTCTTAAGAGCAGATGAAGGCACAAAAACAGAGCTTAGGCCTTCTTACTCTTAGTGAACAGGTATGTCTGGGGTCTTTTAATAGATGTTTATCAAGCTTTTGGAATATTTCTGTTAGTGCTACAAAGCGTGGTATAGAACTGAATATTAGGGGTAAAAAGGAAATGGGTCTGACACTTGGTTGGGAAAGAGTTAGCCAGAGATCTAGGAGAGCATTTGAAAATTAAGGAGACACTGCCTGGCTCCAGTTCTCTTCATCCAGGGTGGTATGCCAGCTCAGTCTCAGCACACTGACCCATCTGTCTGGAGCTGCCTGAATGAGATTATCGTGTGGATGTTGTGTGGACAGCCAGGCCCTAAACAGTCACTCAGAAGGGACTGTATTGGAGCCACTGGGTATTTGGCCAGGTGGGCTGACTGGAGGAATCTAAGGTCTTCATAGGGAGTCCTGGGGAGATGGGCTGGCAAAATAGAGGTAAGAGTAACAACATTAGAGGTTAGAAAAGAGGAAATGAGAAGCTTAGAGCCCTTTAGAGCTGGTACATACCCTGTAACTTCTACCTGGAGAAATGTACTGTGATGTTAAGAGTTGGTACCTGAGGTTCCCTCATCCAGCAGATATTTATTGAATGTACATTATTGGATGGCAGGCACGGGGGTGTATACTGAGAGTCTTTGGGTAGCATAGACAGTTAAGCTGTTGGCTACAAACCAAAAGGTTGGTGGTTCAAAACCATTCCGAAACTCCTCAGAAGAAAGACCTAGTGATCTGCTTCCAAAAGGTCACAGCCATTGAAAACCCCATAGAACATAGTTCTACTCTGAAATACATGGGTCACCCGGATTCAGAAACAACTTGATGGTAACTCTTTCAGATTTCTTGGGAGAATACATTCTGAGGAAACAGTAGTAGAAATAGTAGGATAAATGACGGCCTGACAGTGGGTATAGGGAAGTGTTGTGAAGTTATGTGTCAGCTTAGCTGGGCCTGGTTTTGAGTGGCTAGGCAGCTGGATATTGTTATTCCCAATGATGAAACTGGTAATCAATTCCATAGTGGAATCTACTAGAGCAGCTGAGTAGCTAGCTGCCTTAGGGATGTGGTCTGCTTCCAGTATATAATAAGAAGCTTTGAAAAAGGTCTCTGAGTGTTTTGGCACATCTGGATCCTGCATTTGGCCAAGTCTTCATCCCAGTGGCCTGCCATGTTGTCTGCCAGTCTTGGGACTGTTTCTCAACTTGAACTAGTGGCTTGCCATGTTGCTTGGTATCTTTAGACTGTGCCATTTTACCTGTGAACCTAGGGTTTGTCAGCCTCAACAGCCAGAAGCTGTCTGAGTTAAGAGACCCCTCCAGCTCCAGTGGGCCTGGAGCTAGAGGCAGAGCTTTCACCCAGCCCTTAGAACCGGCACTTTGAACTCAGATTTCTGGTCTTCTAAACTGTAAGAGAATAAATCCCTGTTTGCTAAAGCCCACCTGTGGTGTTTTCTGTTAGGTCAGCACAGGAGAACCAAAATAGAAAGATGCACTTTATGTAGGCAAAAGCTTTAGTCAAGGAAAGATGCTGTGTGGAAGGGATGTTTAACCTTATATCTGGAAAAATAGAAGGGGCCAGCTACATGAAGACCAGGGGAAAGGGCTTCCAACCACAGGGGAAGTACCAGTAAATGTTCTGAAATGGGATCAGCTTGGGGAAGGCCAGTATGGCTAAAGCACTGGACACAAGGGGCAGGCTGAAAGCAGTAAGAGTGGAGAGGCAGGGAGCAGCCATAGTAAAGAGCCTCAATTTTATTCTAACCACATTGGGAAGTTCTGCAAAGAATGAGTTGGAAAAAGGAATAAATGGAAGCAGGTATCTTTGTAGAAAGGCTAGAGACTGCCATGACTTGGACTAGAGTTCTAGCATTAGAGGTGGAGAGAAGTACACAGATTAGAAATTGACTTTAGATTTTGCTAGAAGGGGTCAGATGTCATTGCAGTCCTTTCCTCATGCCCTCTTCCCCCAACTTGTTGAAATGCAGTACAGAAAGAAATCTCTAAAGCTGTCATACCAATCCTGTGTTGCATATAACAGTGCTTTATGATAAATATGATATCTGGGGGTTGAGATTGAAAAATCACTGTTTTATAATCCCTGTTTTTTCACTTAATGACCAAGGATTTCTACTTTCACTTAATGGGAGAAACAGCAGTTATTCTATACCACACCGAACCCCCTATTCTACTCCAGAGATAGATGAAATATAGCATATTTTTAAAGATCATACTATATCCAAGAGTCCTAAATATTATTTTGCTTACGTAACTGGATGTTTTGGGTGGTTAGAACACTTTGTAACTTAATGTTCTTCCCTTTCTGCTTTTCTTTCCCACCCTCTCCAGATGAAGTAATAACGTCTCATGGTGCCATTGAACCAGATAAAGATAATGTACGTCAAGAACCATATTCTTTGCCACAGGGTTTTATGTGGGACACTTTAGATTTGAGTAATGCTGAAGTGGTGAGTCAAACTTTGTAATCCAGCACCTGTATTCACATGAGATCCTTCTGCATTGGTTCTGAGCACCATAGATAGGACACTTGTTTTATCTTGTAGCTCAAGGAGTTATACACATTGTTAAATGAGAATTACGTAGAAGATGATGACAATATGTTCCGGTTCGACTATTCGCCTGAGTTCCTGTTGTGGTAAGTCCCAGCTTATGATGCTGTGGGTGGTGGTGGTTGGATTGACATGGATCTTGGCTGTCCCTGTGTTCTTGGACACTAACTGGCTCCTGTTTTTCTCATCTACGCTGACTTCAGGGCCCTGCGTCCTCCAGGCTGGCTCCCTCAATGGCACTGTGGAGTCAGAGTGTCTTCAAATAAAAAACTAGTAGGGTTCATAAGTGCCATCCCTGCAAACATTCGGATTTATGACAGGTACATATTAAAGCTGGTCAGCTTTTGTGTGTTTGTTTTTCTTTTTCTCTCTGTTTTATTCCATCATCTTATCAAGAGCCTTTCTTAGGAAAGTGCAAGAGCACAGGTAAAACTGGAGCAGGAAGGCACAGTGTCACTTTATATGCCTTGATGATGTGCAGGGACTATTAGTAGGTGGTTCTGCATATATGAGCTTCCAACCCTCTTTGGCAGTATCTTAAAAGCCCTTCTGCTCAGCTACTCAATGAGTCAGCAGTGCTGTTAAACCAGTATGGCAGTTGAAGAAAGTGTGGACTTTTTTTTAAATACATTTCATTGAAACATAATTTATGTACAGTGAAATATACAAAACTGGACTTTTTTATTGCAATTATAATGGGCTTTTAAGGATTATTTAAAAATTTTTAAGAGTGAGAAAAACTTTCTGTCCCTGGGACAAGCTTGTTGCAATATTTGCTCAGAGTGTACAGTCCTAAAAGTCAAAGATCTAGTGCATGATATGTCTTTTTGCCTGCAAATATATTAAGTTTATCGACTGCTAAACACATTTGATCTCAAAGAATATTGTGTTTCAAACATAGTGGATCTTCTAAGTACTCTCCCAGGAATGAAATTAATTACTGAAATAATGCAAGAGAAATGCCTGCATACCTGGAACCAGAGCAGGGAGTTGCTGGCTTGCAGGCTATAGAAGGCTTATTCTAGTTCAAAAAACTGGCACCACACAAAGATCCTGTGGATTTATATTCTTTTTCAAAGCAACATTTTAAGAAAGTCTAGAGTGTGCCTGACCTAGTTATTGCCATAATTGTATACATTACAGGAAAAACAGATACAGAAACTGGAAATGTCTGATCCATCTAAGTTGAATACTTGTAAAAGGCCAGTGTCCTAAAATGTATTTAGAACAAGGAACTTTGAGTCTCCATAGACTATAATGACAGTCATTTTGTACTACTCTACAATATGAGATCACCATGAGTCAGAATCAGCTTGATGGCAACTGATTTGAGTCACTGGATGGCACAAACAGTGAAGCGCTCGACTACTAAGTGAAAGGTTGGGAGTTCAAACCCCACCCAGAGGTTCCTCAGAAGGAAGGCCTGGCAATCTGCTTCGAAAAGGGCATAGCCTTGCAAACTCCATGGAGCACGGTTCTATTCTGACACACAAATGAAGTCACCGTGAGTCAGAGTCGACAGAAGCTGGGGGCGGGGTTGGTAGAATAGGGATTAATGCATTAATATGAATTCATATAATGTCTAAATAATGTTGTTGTTGTTGTTATGTGCCGTCAAGTCGGCCCCGACTCATAGCGACCCCTCCTTGGGTTTCCGAGGCAGTATCACTACGGAAGTAGGATTGCCCAGCCTTCCTTCCGAGGAGTGGCTGGTGGGTTTGAACCGCCAGCCATCTGGTTAGCAGGCAAGTGTCTTAGCCACTATGCTACCAGAGCTCCCATCTAAATAATAGAATAATTTTTTTAAAGATTGTCATAAAAGAGGCCTTTTTCATTTTTTCACTCTTAGAAATGTTATGGGTGTTATGTTAAAAAATGTTTTCATCTTATGTTCGCTCTGATTTTGACAACTTTATATCTTAGCGTGAAGAAGATGGTAGAAATCAACTTTCTTTGCGTACACAAGAAATTGAGATCAAAACGGGTAGCCCCAGTGTTAATTCGAGAAATAACCAGAAGAGTGAACCTGGAAGGGATTTTTCAGGCCGTTTATACTGCTGGGGTGGTTCTTCCCAAGCCAGTGGCCACGTGCAGGTAATTACCAGCACCATATTCTTACCTTGCATCTTTACAGTTACAAAGCGTGTGGAGCCTCACTACCATTTTACTACAAGTATTATCCTCCTCACACGTAACAGAGAAAACGAGGCTCAGAAATATTTTAGCTTGCTCTCCTCATTATGTGGTTTGTTGATAGCAGAGATGGAGAACAGAACCCAGGTTACGGAGTGCAGTACTCTGCAGTGTAATCACACTGCCACTTGATGATAAAAAAAAAAGTTTTAAACATTTTTCTGCTAATGATGCTAGATTTATTTTTCTGTTTCAGTTCTACTTGAAAGACTAGTGCTGTGTTCCATGAGAAAATTCAGGGTGTTGTAATCTTGAAATATCAAGTGTCAGCAGCCCCATTTCCTTTTCACCCGTAACTCTTACTTCTATACCATGTTTCGTAGCGCTATCAGGAATTGTTCCAAAAGCTCGATAACATCTGTTGAGAGGCCTCAGACATACATATTTGCCAAGAGTAAGAAGGCTTGAGTTATGTTTTTGTGCCTTTATCTGCTCTTATTCAAGTTTTCAAAAGTTGTTCCAGTGAGAAAATTTGTTTATCAGATTGTCAGTTGACTGACTTCTTTCTAAGAGCACCAGAAAGTTTATCTCCTGCTACTCTTTTTATTACTCAAATCAAGATAAAACTTTAAGTAAAGATAGCCTAAAAGGTTAAACTGTAAAATTATAGTAAAACCAAAACCAAACCTACTGATTCAATTCACAGTGGTCCTGTTTATTGCATTCATATGTAAACAGAATAAAAGACTTTTTAAAAGAAAAGTTTATTGTTATTTGGGTGAAAGTTTACAGAACAAATTCATTTCCCATACAACATTTCAGACACATTTTGTTTCATGACATTGATGCAATTCCCCACAATGTGACAGCTCTCATCCCACTTCCTCCCCATAGTACTTTTTCCCTGTGTCCTTCCCTCCTGTTCACTCCCACCTCCTAAGCTGTCTCCCTGTGCAAACACACTGTACTTCTGTTTTCCCATGATTGATTGCTCCAAGGAGTGTATCTCCCTGATGTAACTGTTCACCCCATATGCCTGTCTATTGTTTGGCTGAAAGCCACAGGAGTGAGTTCAGTTCCAGACCTGAGGGGAAAGTAGGGACCATAGTCTCAGGGGTCTCACCAGCCTCTGTCAGACTAGTAAACCTGGTCTTTTTTTTTTTTTTTATGATTTTGAGTTTTGTTCCACATTTTTCTCCCACTCTATCCAGGATCTCCTGTATAGATCCCCCTCTGAGTGGTTGATAGTGGTAACCGGGCTCCATCTAGTTCTTCTGGTCTCATAGTCTTGTATGCTGAGGAGCGCATGGTGTACCAGTCTCTTGGACTAATTTTTTCCATGTGTCTTTGGTTTTCTTCATTCCTCTTTGCTCTGGACCAGGAGAGACCCATCATTACATCTAGATGGCTGCTAGGAAGCTTTTCAGACCGCGGTTGCTACTCACCAAAGTAGGATGTGGAACAGTGTTTTTGTGTAGTATATTATACCAGTTGAGCTTGATGTCCCCTGCATCCATGATCCCAAGCCCTCAAGTCCAACTACTCGCTCCCTCTGGGTAGCTGGAAAAGATGCATTTTTAATACCTATTTTAATAATAGGTCATTCATTCTAGTACATAAACTGGTATCACTGAAAAGATTGAAGCTAGTTTCTCAAAAAGTTATTTTCTTTGGTGTGCATTATATAGAAGTGAAGGCTAGTAATTTGGGAGAAATAAAGTTTTTAACTTTATGGTTTGCCTTTTATAGAATCATTGATGGGCAAACTGGGCATTATTAATTTTTCTTTGCAGTTTGAAGATTTCTCCTTGTTAAAAGAGATGAAAGGTCACAAACTAAAGGAACACAACTACCAATGCAGGACATATTACAGAGGTGAAAGAAAATAAGAGAGGGACTGATAAAATTATTTACTAGGAAGAGGGTAGTGTCCAGCATTCGTGTTCAATAAATGCTTAACTTAACAGCTCCGCTGAGACAAAGAGTAAACTTGTAGAGTTAGAAATCAGTTAGATTTTAAAACATTTCTTGTATTTTAGGTACTGGCATCGATCACTAAACCCCAGAAAATTGGTGGAAGTGAAATTTTCTCACTTGAGTAGAAATATGACTTTACAGAGAACAATGAAGCTATACAGACTTCCAGATGTAAGTAAGAATGATTTGCAGGTTTTCAAAGCTGTAATGACTGAAGCTTTTAATACAGAATAGAATTATTTGCAGGTCTGAAGACTGATTCATATATCTGAGGAAGTGAATATGTTGCTGGAAAGACTGCATAAAACTCAGAGGCTGGGAAAAGCACGGAAGCTCATTTGGAAATATTAGACCTTTTTTAAAGAAAGCTTTTTATGTTCTTTGGTTTGTAGTTGAAAGGGAGTGAAGTTGAGATATGTAGGTTTTGAAATTTTGAGTGTTATGGTCAGTCAAGTGAGAGGGAAGAAGCATTCAGGTTTCTGATGGTATCAACAGAATGGAACTAAGGAATAAAGTTTAGAGGGCAGAACCGGGGAGAAGAAACAATATTTCATGTAATTATCATACTTTTAAAATAGCAAATTCTCAGTGTAAAAAGTTGTTTGCCTTAATAGAGAAAATTTTTAAATATGCTTACTAATATTGGATTTATTTTGAGATTTGGATATTATTATATTTGTTATCTCTTGCTGCATAACAAATTACCGTAAATATAGGTGCTTAAAAGAACATACATTCATCATCTTATAGGTTCTTTGGATCAGAAATCCAGGCATAGCTTAGCTGAGTCCTCTGCCTCAGATTCTCTCATGAAGCTGCCATTAAGGTGTCAGCCAGGGCTGGGGTCTCCTCTGAAAACTTGTCTGGGAAGAAGTCACTTGCAAGCCTATGCAGTTCTTGGTAGGATTCAGTTCCTTGTGGGCTATTGGACCAAGGGCCTTGTTTCCTTGCTGGCTGTTGGCCAGAGGCCACCTTCAGCCTTGCTTCTTGGACTTCTCCATAGGGAGCTCACAACATGGCAGCTTCCCCATCAAAGACACCAAGAAAAGAGTCTGTAGAGAGAAAGTGCTAGCAAGATGAAAGTCAGAATCTTATGTAATCTATTCATGAATAGACTATCCAGCCACAATTGCTGTATTTTTAAATTCTGGTTAGAAGCAAGTCATAGGTCCTATTCACTCAAAAGGAGCAGATTGCAGAAGGGCATGAATGCCACAAGAATGGGGGTCGTTGGGGGCCCGCTCAGAGTCTGTTTACCACAGTTGAGATCTTCTGTTTGATGTTTTGATTTTATCAGAGTTACTCTTTCTTTTGGGTTATTAGTTACTTAGTGAATATTTTAACCTGATTGAAGGAAGGGTCCATGTGGAATGTAGCCACGTTCCTCTAGAACATTGTGAGGACTTGGCCTGTAGTAGCCTCTGCAGAAACCATTGCTAGTTCAGTGGTAGAATTCCATACAGTAGACTGCGTTCGTTTCCTTTTGTCTTTTGGCCAGTTTTGTGTTTACCAGATAGAGAGCATCGGTAACTATTTGTCTGGTGACATAAGAGAATCAAATAATTTCTGACCTTAGGCAGAATTTCACAAGGAGAGAAGTGAAGAAGGTGAAGGAAACCAGGTAGTTGGAAATGTCACTATCATCATTCTTGGGCCTCAAAAACTGGTGGAAGGATTAGAAGTCATGCTTCATTTCTGTTCTGTCTATTGTTGTGGACAGCGAGGGCTTGAACTAATTCCCTTACTGCCTCTCTGGGAGGCCTGTGAGGGAGGGGGAATATATATCGTAACAGGTAAAAGTAAAAACAACAGGTGAGATGACACAGGACCTGAGGAAGAAGGAGCAGGCCCCTCAGGCTAGGGTGACAGAAGGGATGGTAAGCATATCAGTGGAATATGATATATTCCACTCTATTCCAGAATAGAGATAAATAGGAGAATGTTCAGAGAGGCCATGTTGTTATTACTGCAATTAATATTTATTAATTAATTTTCTTTGGAAGCAAGAAATAATTTATGCTGCTGGTGAAGTCACAAAGAGTAGAGAGGGACAGAGTCAGGTGTAGGCTTTTTTGGTTACTTCATGCTACTCTAACAGAAATACCAGAGGTGAAATGACTTTAACAAACAGGAGTTTATTCTCCTACAGTTTGGGAGGCTAGAATTCTGAGTTCAAAGTGCCAGGCTCTAGGGATTGGGTAAAACCCCTCGAGCTTGGGCTTCAGCTCTACCTTCTGCTCCCAGCCCACTGAAGCTGGAGGCTTTTCTTTCCTCAGACAGCTGCTGGCTGCTGAGGCTGACAAACCTAAGGTTGACAAGTAACAAGGCACAGTCCCAATATTACCAAACCACATGGCAGGCCATTGATTTAACTCCATTAAGTGTCCCAAGATCTGCAGACAACATGGCAGGCTGCTGAATAGTGACTCAGCTACATGCAGGTTCCAAGTGTGCCATAAACTGGAGACCTTCCTCAAAGTTGCTTCTTATATACTGAAAGCAGCCCACATCACTAAAGCAGCTACTAGCTGCTCCAGTAGATTCCACCATGGAGTTAATTACTAATCTCACCATGGGGAATAACTACATTCAGCTGCCCAGCCACTCAACCAGGCCCAGCCAAGTTGACACACAACCTTAACTACCACAGAGGCACAAATACAGTGAGAAAAATGGACACAGTGTACAGCAAAGGTGAATTGCCCCTTTCTTAAGGGGCCATTTATTCTGAGTATCCTCCTTGCCAGTTTTAGGGAGCCCTGGTAGCATAGTGGCTAAGACACTTGCCTGCTAACCAGACGGCTGGCGGTTCAAACCCACCAGCCACTCCTCGGAAGGAAGGTTGGGCAATCCTACTTCTGTAGTGATACTGCCTCGGAAACCCAAGGAGGGGTCGCTATGAGTCGGGGCCGACTCGACGGCACATAACAACAACAACAACATATCCAATGACATGAAAATGTCAGGCATTCCTGCTTCTTTTGCTGGGGTCTAATGCTGTTCAGTTTGGTCCCCTACCCTTCAGTTTACTGACGCTAAAAGAGTCTAGCCTGTTGTAAGAAAAGCACCCACTGCATGTAGGTTGCCTAAAGTGGAATGAAGAATAAGGGGTTTGCATACCTGTCATTATTTTTTCAGGATGATTAGAATTTAATGAATCGAAATTACTTTTGACTTGACTTTGTCTATCAGCCTTTATGTTTGCACAAGAATTGGTGCATTCATAGATAACAAAATTTTGACAAGTTGATAATAACTCCCTGGTCAGGCATTAGTTGTAAACGTAGATGTTGGCATCTGAATTACAGTTAAACTAGTAGATTCCTTATGTGGAGCAGTCCTACTCCTGTCATATTGTTATAGTGATGGTCTCTCACCTACCCTCCCCCAAAGATTTGAAATCTGTAAAGTGCTTTCATATGCATTATCCAGTTTACCCTCACAACAACCTTTTGAAGTTGATACTTCTTCTTATTTCCATTTTACAGATGAAAAACTGAGGCTTATGAAGGTGATGCTCAGCCAAGGGCATATCACTAACTAAGGAGGAGGGCTTGGGATGCAAGCTGCTGTTAGATCCCTTTGCTTCTGCCATCACCTCTCACACACTCCCTGTAGGAAGGGTACCATGACTTAGTCCCACCAAGTGTCTCACTGTACAGTCATTAGAGCATAGCATAGTTTAAGACGGGAAAGGACAGTTGCCAAAGGTCCAGACAGCTCTCAGTGACCTGTCCCTGTCTTCCTTTCCCATTTTTAAGTCATTGGGAAGGAAAGGAAAAGAAAATGAGTAAATTAATGGAGGAAGAGATGAAAGAACAGATACTAGAGACTTGGAAGGTGGTGATAATAGTCAAATAGTGTCTCTGTCTTGAGTTGGAAGCTGGGCAATACAGCATGTGCCAGACCACCTCTTACCTTTCACATGTTCACAGATGGATGACACCATAGTTAGTTGCATCATGTAAGAACACTTTTGTACGTTTAAGCAAACGAAAGAACCTTCTTGAATACTACTTTGGCTGTAAGGATTCAGTGTTATTTCCTGATTCATCATTTTTGTTTCTACTTATCATCCCTGCTTTATGTCTTCTTCACGGACTTCTGAATATGAGTTAACATTTATCGTGGCCAGCATTGTGCTTGATATTTAACATCTATAACTCATTAGTTTTTCATAAACATCGTAGGAGGGCAGGTTCTGACCTCTTGTTATCCCTGTTTCACAGAAGAGGACACTGAAAGACAAGATTAATTTGCCTGGAGTTGAACAGTCAGTATCAGAGCAATCAGTCCCACACCTTTCGCTTTTGTTCTCTAAAATATACGAGTTTCCTAAGATTGACATCTTCATCTCTCCTTTAAATGTTGGTTTGTTTTTTAATTTTGATGTTGAGTATTTCAGGCGAAGTTGGGATTTTTTTTTCCCCAGTACTCTTAAAGGTGAAGGAATTGGATGTGGATGAAAAGCAGGAATCAGAAATTAATCTACCAGGGACTTACCATTGGGTTCCAAGAAGGATGTGCTTGTTAAGACATATTACGAGACCCCCTAAGGTTTTCTATGTTTAGTAACACAAGCGACTTTTTTAAGTGTGTAGTGTCCTATGGCTCTTTTTTTTAAATTTTTTTTTTTTTTTTTTTATCATATTAACAGCCATAATCATTGCTTGCAGCTCTACTCTGGAATCTTGGCTCTAAAACAGTTCAAGCCATATAGTTCAGCAGATTACAACACCACTTCTGTTTTAAAATAGAGCTCTGAACTCTGTTTCCTTATGCACGTATTAGCAGGTTTTATACAAATTTCATTATACATAGATTCCAACAAGTAGGTGGACATTAGTTGGGTTATGAAAAAGTTTATCTGATTCAGATATAAAGTTTACTTATGAAATAATTAAGATTTTCTCAGCTACTGGAAATTTTTCTTTGTTTTTGGGACTCTTAAAATATCACCACTTCACTCTTGGTGAAACTTTACTATTTTCAGCCAGGCTTAACTATCTTCCTACATCTTCCTGAAGATTTGTTGTTCTTGTTAGGTGATGTCGAGTCACGTCCAACTCCTAGTAACCCTGTGTTCAACAGAATGGCACACTGCCCGGTCCTGCACCATCCTCCCAATCTTTGATATGCTTGAGCCCATCATTACAGCCACTATGTCAGTC